GTCATTTTAGTTGTGATGCAGGTCCCCTCCTAAAGATCTCATGCTCAGATACACGGGTAATAGAACAAGTGGTTATCCTTGCGGCTGTATTTGGACTCATCATCACCCTAGTGTGTGTGATTCTGTCCTACACGCACATCATCAGGACAATTCTCAGGTTCCCCTCTGTCCAACAGAGAAAAAAGGCCTTTCCACCTGCTCTTCCCACATGATTGTGGTTTCCATCACCTACGGCAGCTGCNTAGTAGAATTGGAAAGCCATATTTTTAAAAAATGTTATTTTTACACATAAAACTACAAAAATAAGGCAAAATGAATCATGGTCTTAAGTGTAAACAAACTATAACACAGAAAAAAACATCAGAGACCATTAATTTAGGGTGAGGCAAATATTTTAGACAACAAAAAAGCATGATACTTTTTTAAAAGTGGTGAAATGTCATTCATCAAAATTAAGAAATGCTGCCTCTAAAAAGACCCTTTGAGAGTATAAGACAAGTCACAAACTGGGGGAAAATAATTGTGGATCACATATCTGAAAAAGGACTGGCTTTGGACTGTATAAAGAACTCTAAGAACACAATACTAACAAAATACACAACCCAATTAAAAAAGAGACATATGATTTAAATAGACACTTCACCAATGAAGATCTGCAGATGGCAACTAAATGCACCAAAGGATGTTCAGCTACTATGCATACAAAAATTAAAATCACTATGATATACCACTACACACCTACTTTTAGTGTAAAAGAGTAGAAATTGAGCATGTCAAGGAGGTGGACAAATTAAAACACTTCTGCACAGCTGTGAGAAAGTAAAATCATATGAGTGCTTTGGAAAACTGTTCCACAATTTCTTAAAAAGTTAAATCTACACCTTCCACATGATTCAGCCATCTACTTCTATATATTTACACAACAGAAATGGAACTATATGTCATTATAGAGATTTTTGCGTGAATGTTCATAGGAGCTTCATTTGTTAAGTGCCCTAAAATTGAAATGACAAAATATCTCCCAGCAGGTGAATAGTAAGCAAACTCCACACAATCAAATATTTCCCAGAAATGAAAGGAATAAACTACAGATGTACATAATAATGTGGATTGTAGTGTGTCGCTCGTTTAGTGTCTTCTTGGATGAAATGGGAGAACAAAAAACACAGACAACACAGACAAATAGACAAAGGCTGCAGCAGTCCCAATGTGGCACAGCTCCTTTATTTTTATATATATTTTTTATTTTGGTATCATTAATCTACAATTACATGAAGAACATTATGTTTACTAGGCTCCCCCCTTCACCAAGTCCCCACCACATACCCCATTACAGTCACTGTCCATCAGTGTAGTAAGATGCTGTAGAATCACTACTTGTCTTCTCTGTGTTG